TGAATAATCCTTAAGATTAATCTTTATTAATAAGATATATTTTACTTGTGTCTATAGTAAAGTTTGAAGCCAAGTAAAATTAATCGTTCAGATTCAAAAAGATTTCTAGATTATGTTTAATTATAGATGGAAGAGAGCCTACAATACTTTACTTATTAGTATCATAAACATAATTTAGATTATTCCATGAATAAACTTATTAAGAGTCATCAACCTTTAAATTATTATGTTTTTAAAAAACATTATTGTCTTCTGATTCATACCTTGAATTATAGAGATTAATTTCAAGTAGTTTTTTCTTTTCATTATTGAAGTATCTGATGAGTCCTTTGTAAAAATAAATAATAGTCCTTTTTTCTTAAAACAATTCTTTTAAGGTATATTAGTTGATGAGAATCAAATTAAACTTATCGTAAACTAAAACTGCACTGCATCTTTTGCTATTATCAATGGAATTAATTATAATTGAATTATTTGTAACAATTGGCTTTTTACTGTCAAATTTAAAACCTTCTGGAGGATTTAATTATCCTAATTTTTCAATTTTCCCTGATTATAAATGAGCGATATGAAAAATATTAAATATCGAATCATATCCTAGATATTCAGTATCCCAACTAAAATATATTAATTGATCAAGTTTATATATAATATTGAGAGTTTCAAATTCAATAATTAAAGTTTTCTTTTCAAAAGTAGCAAATAAAAACTTATCAATATAGAAATCAGATAATTCAAGTTTTGGGTACCCAAATAAGCATTTAAAAACTCCATCAGGTGAGAAAAATTTCTCATCTTTTTATCCTCCTTTTTTTAATACTTCTTCAAGATACTCATCTAGGTGATATTTAAAGGAAATAGGTTTGTTGTAATTGCAATTCAAGAAGGCTAGACATTCAATCTCATTTTCATTTGATTGTATATAATTATCAACCTGCTCTTTTGATGTTGATTGACATAATATAATATGGCCACTGGGACCAAACATCACGTTTTTTAAAGTTCCAAAAGATTTTTAATATTAAATTGTTTAAACTGAAGATTAGTCAATCTAATTGTTGAAGTAATTATCAATTTAGTAAATCTTTATTTATAAATTAGGATCGTCTTCATCAGTTGGTTTAATGCCTAAGAGTAGATATTATTCGCAAGGTGAAAAATTAAATGCATTCTTCTCTTTTGATGTATTATTGGCTATTAAAGGTTGTATATTTTCTTCAATTTTTTTTTGCTAGATTTATTCAAAGTTTTCCATATTTCTGAGCTAGCAGTATCTTATCTGTTTATCTTTCTGAGTTACTACCCCGTGTAAAAAGATTTTACTAGAGTTTTTTAAGAAATGAAGACCCTCAATTTCGAAATAAAATTTTTAATCATCTTCTGAGTCCATTATCTCTGGTTTATTAGCATTTTCTAATTAGAGTTTCCACTCTCAATCTTTTTCTTCACAAATAGTTGCATTATTCAAATCAACAAAGTGAGGATATAAATCATTATATGGATTAGCAGAATATTTTTGGATTGGATAGCTATTTTAAGGTTTATTTTATTTGTTTTATGCTTGAGGTGACCCCTAATTAAGATCTATAAGGTTCTATTTCAAGTTTTTATCCATTTCTCTTTGTAATTAATTTATTATTATATATGGAGAATTTAGTCCATGTTATACTAATAAGTAGTGCAACAATTTTTTATCTACATAGCTTAATTTACAAAATACTCATAGCATGGGGTTTTGGGGTTTTGGGG